GAACCACAGGTGACATTTCTGTAAAAGCCAAGTCACTATACATTCAGTTCACTAAAGCCCAACCTTTGTTGAATGAACAAATGTATTTTGCTTGATAAATCTCCTACATTAGGAGAAGGGGATTGGTCCAAATAACGCACACCCATCATTACCAACAGAAGCCTGACTTTGTGAAAATTAGCGCTTCATTGCCACACTGTAGGGAAATGAGCAGTGGTCTTCTTTCTTACATATCACCTAATACTACTCATGAAGAAACACAATTGGGTTTGAGCTGTGTGCAAACGAGCTCATCTTAAACACTTGAAATGTTTTTCAGCCAAATTATGATGCAAGCCTCTAAAGGCAAGAGTATGTACTTTTCACTGTACTTTTTCTAAGTAAATTTGCATATGCATAAAATTCCACTTAATAAATATTAGCTATACTTTTGTGACCATGTACAAAGTCATTTTCAAAATACCTGGTTATAATAATTCCATATATTAAAATATATCCATAATGAATTCATTAAGTTATGAAGAAAAAAATCTATAAGCTATTTTTGAAGTAACTATATTAAAATGTAAACATAATATATTGGGTGAAGCTTAGAAGTTTTGACCTCCTCATCACAGATGAATCTTCCTTTAGTCAAAAGAATATTGAAGATGTTTATTACAGGATACTTTTCTTACCCCATGTGGTACATTTAATAAAGTTGCAACTTTGTTAAAAATTACCTTTGTCATAGTAATCCCTTAATAATAATTACCGAAAGTTTGCTGTGAACCAAGTAACACCTAGATAAAACTAGCAAGATAAAAATAAATAAGGTAATGGAAGTGCTGCCCGTCTTTGGGGATTATACACTCAACTTCTATACAGTCATGCCAAAAGGAGAAAACGAGGGTATCACACATGTCCTTACAATGTGTCGGAAGAACCTGAACATCCATTTTGCAAACAAGAGCACTGCCATACAGAGAGTGGAGAGCACCACAACCATCAAGAGAGTGTTTTAAATGAATTCAGATCTCCAACCATCCAAGTCAGTTGCATTTAAAAGTGTCTCATTGTGACCCATGATAAGCAAGGGCTGCCTATCAATGTAAGATGTACCTTGAATCAAGTATAGCACCAAAATAAATATGATTCTACCTGCTATATCCTAACAGTGCTAAGACATCCTGAATTCTGAGCACCACAATTCTTTCCTTCCTTCCTTCTTTTCTTCCTTCCTTCCTTCCTTTTTTTCTTCCTTGTGTATTTTGTTTGTTTTGTTTTGTTTTTCGAGACATAGTTTCTCTGTGTAGCCCTAGCTGTCCTAGAGCAGGTTGGTCTTGAACTCGGGGAGATTCACCTGCCTCTGCCTCCAGAGTGCTGGGATTAAAGGTGTGCACCACCTGGCTGCATCCCAATTTCTTTTTTTTTTTTTTTTTTTGGTTTTTCGAGACAGGGGTTTCTCTGTGTAGCTTTGTGCCTTTCCTGGAACTCACTTGGTAGTCCAGGCTGGCCTCTAACTCACAGAGATCCGCCTGGCTCTGCCTCCCGAGTGCTGGGAATTAAAGGCGTGCGCCACCACCGCCAGGCTGCATCCCAATTTCTAAAGCATGAGGCTGAGGCTCTTAAAGCAATTCTATGTTTGTGCAGAGAATTAAATGGGAAGGATTTGGTCCCAATTTTTCTATCTTATTCTATTTATTGTTTTTAAATGGTGTTCTGGGTCCACTCTTTTAATTTTACCAACCACTATTGTGTGTACCTAATCTAAACACTGATCTAAATCATGTGTCACAGGTCAATAGAAAGTTTGTTGACATATACAGCCGATGTGCTAATGTTTGATTTGATAGCAGATGAAGAAGAAGAAGAAAGGGAACAATTTAATGTGGACAGAAACCACTTGGCATAATCTCGTATTAGAATGGGAAAAGCTTAACCTGTGATGAGTAAATACTACATAGCAAGATATAGAAGAGGGAATAGTGATTGAGAAATTTAAATCTGGGAATTACACTTCTCAAATGTGAATGAGGAAAATGTTTCCTTAAAAAGAAAATATAAGCATTGAGCTTAATTAAAAGACTAGATAAATATAATACTTCAATAATAAAAGTATTGATAATTTAAAAAACGAAAACAAAATCTTATGCTTTGCCTGCAAAAAAAAAAAAAAATAAATGCAGCAACTTGAAAGGATTATAGGCACCCAAGGATGGCTAATTTAGATAAAACCTAACACAAAACTCGTTTCTATCCTTGTCTCTATGAACTCAAAAGGGTTCAAGTCTGAGAACAAAATGGAATGAAAACAATCGACTTGATTTCCCAACTTTTTATGTGTTTCTCTTAGATTCTCGGTTAATGAAAAAACATCACACACACACACATACGAAAAACAAAAACAAACAACCCCCCCCAAACACAAGTTGAAATCTTCTGCTTGCTAGCTTCCGTGAATTAACAAACAAATGAACAAAAATCCAGGGAAATAATGGGATTCCCAGTATAAAATTAGCTGGCTGAAATCCTGAGTGACTTCTGTCTAAATCCAACCCCAGAACTGTGTCTGTCGTTCTGGCAAATCGCAACTAAACAAGAACAAAACCAGAAGCCCGTTTTATTCACGTATGTAAAATGCACGCACCAAAGTGTAAGAATACCATCTCTCTCTCTCTCTCTCTCTCTCTCTCTCTCTCTCTCTCTTCTCTCTCTCTCTCTCTCTCTCTCTCTCTCTCACACACACACACACACACACACACCACACACCCACACACACGCAAACGTGCAAACTTGGCAGCTAGGAAATGTTAGTGCACTTGTTAGAAGGTGAAATTTCAGTCCCTTTGATGAAGATACCATCTTTCAGCCAAGCCTTGACAAAACCTTTGGTGCCTGTTAGACCCCCCCCCCCTCCCCTTGCTATTCAGTGGCTGGGCTCCATCTGGAGGTATGGGGGCTCTTCCTCTCCATCAGAGCTAAGCATTCCCAGACCCACCGCCAGCCCCGGGTTCCTGCAGAGCACTCAACGTACAGAGAAGTGTCCCAACTCTGCAAAGGGCAGCTAGAAATGGATTTAAAAATGGCAACGCCAACCAATCAGCACTGTCGCGCCCAGGCAGACATTTACAACGCTCCTCAAGTACAGCGGAACATGGCAGAGCCTAGCTCCCGGCCTGTAGGGCAGCAGAGTAGGCATTTTTATTCCACGGTGGTCTGCATCTTTGTGAGAAAAAGAAAAAAAACTTCATTGGGATGATCGTCTTTATTTTGGAGTCAATCCAAGACAATTTTGGGAGTGTGATGTGTGAAAATCTGAACCTAAGATTTTTTTTTTTCCCTTTCAGTTTTGTGTTATTCAAGGATGAAAAAGAGGTACATTTGAGAACATTCTCCACCTTTTAAAAACTGGACTGTGGTCATGATGGTGTTCACATAACCCAGAACACAGTCCAGGCTATAAAAATTAGGACTTGGCAGAAAGGAATTCTGAGGAAAAAGGTTAAATGAAGGTAAACTAAAGGGAGTTAGGCAATGGTGGGGAAAAGAATCTATAAGGTCCCTATGCTCTGTGGGCGTCCGAAGACGGGTGTGCAGCGCCAACTCCAGTAGTCATTCCCGGAGGAATTAAAAAGCCCGATGCAGAAACTGGCGCGCTTGGCGTTCCTGTGTGCAGTGTGCAAATGTGTGCATTTGTTGCGAATGTGCTCGCGGGGCCATTCGTGTGCCTGGAAGTGTGCGTAAGCACGCGTTTGTTAGCGTGTGAGTTTCCCAGTGGAGTGTGGATGTGTGCACGTGCATCTGCGTGCAAGTGTGCGTGAGATCACACGCGTGGGCGCATGTGTATCGTTGTGCATGCTGTGTTTGTGCACCGGCCCGGCGCGCTCTGGGGTGAGGGCACCTCTCATTTGGAGCGAGGCTGTCTCGGGGCGCGCTCTGCCGACTCCTTGGTCGCCCTTTCCCCGGGGCTGAACTAGAAGGCGGCGGCGGCGGCGGTTGGCCCGGGATGCTTCCGGCCACCTTCAGGTTCCGCTCGGCGGAAGAGCAGGTAGAGGCCACGCTCCCTAAGGTGGCTTTGAGACAGTCCTTTTCTCTCGCCTCCCCAGGACAACCGGCCAGGGGTAGGTGACCTCGGACGGCCAGAGGGACTAGATTGGCAGCAAGACCGGGCTGGAGAGCCTAGGCTCTGTCTCTTTAAACCCCACCCGCCGGCGGGGAGCACGTGAGCCGGGGCTCCGGGTGGCACTCGGGCGCCGCGCCGCCGCCGCCGCCAAGGCAGTTGTGTTTCGAACGCTGCCTCTGGCGGGCGGCCAGGCGCCTCGGCTCGGCGGTCCGCCCAGCCTCCCCCCCCATTCCTCTGGGCCTCTCCTGCAGCCCCCTCCCCTTTATCCGCCTACGACCAGAGGTGGGCAGTCGCCCCCCCTTCCGCCCCCCATCTCCGCAAGCCCGCGCGCGCGCGCGCGCGCGCACACACACACACACACACACACACACACACACACACACGCACACGCACACGCACACGCGCGCGCGCGCGCACACTCATCGCTCTTGAATCCTGGGCAGGAACTCTGAAAACTTCCAACCCCGGCAGCACGCACGGGGTGCAGAACTCAGAGGCCAGCAGCTTGTTTCCCCCAAGACACTGCAGGGCCGCCGCCGCCGCCGCCTGCCCCCGCCACCCGAGGAGGCGTGGTGCCACCCACTGCTCCTTTCCTTGCTAGAGTTGAGTTGTGCGCCCTACCCTGATCCGGGCAGAACCTTCCTTCCCATCCTTTCCCTGCTTCCTGACGGCACAAGGGTCAGTCTCTCTGCCCCTGCCCCTCTCGGTGTGTCTCGGTCTCAGTCTCTCTAGTCTCTGTCTCCCAATCTCGCTCTCCCTCCAATTTCTCTCTCTCTCTCTCTCTCTCTCTCTCTCTCTCTCTCTCTCTCTCTCTCTCTCTCTCTCTCCTCTCTCTCTCTCTCTCTCTCTCTCCCCCCTCCTCTCCACTCTCTCTCTGTAGGGTGGGGGAGAGGAGGAGGAATTCTTTCCCCGCCTAACGTTGCAAGGGACACAATTCACTCCGAGTCTCCCTTTCCAAGCCGCTGCCAAACGTTCCCAGTGCCCGCAGCTCCCGGTCCTCAGAAGAGAGAGGAGCCCTCTCTCCACCTTCCACTCTCCCTCTCCCTCGCTGCTTCCCGCCTCCTCTAGCTACCTCCACCTCCACCTCCACCTCCGCCACCCACCGCCCGCAGCGCCTCCTCCTCCTCCTCCTCCTCCTCTCCTCCTCCTCTCCTCCTCCTCCTCCTCCCCTCTCTCTCTTTTTGGCAGCCGCTGGACGTCCGGTGTTGATGGTGGCAGCGGCGGCAGCCTAAGCAGCAGCAGCCCTCGGCGCGCGCCAGCTCCGCCAGCTCTCGTCGCCCCTGCCTTCTCCAGCCTTCTCCATCCCGTCTCCCCGAAAGGTGCTGGGCGGATCCGGGGCGGCGGCGGCGGCGGCGGCGGGCGGCGGGCGAGCGGCTGCAAGCGGCGGTAGCGGCGGAGGCAGCGGGAACGGCGGCGGGAGGCAAGGATGAGCGCACGCGGTGAAGGCGCCGGGCAGCCGTCCACTTCAGCCCAGGGACAACCTGCCGCCCCGGCGCCGCAGAAGCGAGGACGCGGCCGACCCAGGAAGCAGCAGCAAGTCAGTACGCCGGCGCGGAGGGGGTCACTCAGCCCACCCGCGACGCCTCTGCCCCGGGGGGCCTCCCCGCGACAAGCCGGGCGACCGGAGCGCGGGAGCGCAGCGACCAGGGCGGCGCAAGCCTGCCCGCCAAGCCCCGGGGTGTAGGTGGGCGGGCGGGCGGGAGATCCATTCCCCCCACCGGCGAGTGCGCCGTGCGAGCTCCCGGGTGCCCGTGCCCCCCACGGCTCCGGGAGGTGGGGGGGTCCGCTGCCCTCCGCAGCCACCCGGCGGGAGGTGGGGTCGCGCGAGGCGCGCGTACCGGGACTTTCGCTATTGTGCGCAGCCCCGGAGCAGCGCGGCGTGGCTCAAGGGGGGACAGTGAGTTTCTGGGGTCCCACAGACTAAAAAAAAAAAAAAGCATTGCTTTGTCAGCCGCTTTTGCAACTGTTCAGCCAGAGGGCTTGCTAGGGATTGGGGCGTTCAGGGGGGTCGAGACTCGGTGGGTCGGAGGCTCCGAGACCCCTCGGCTTTCTCCAGCGGCTCGGGGCTGCCTGCCCGCCAGAGGCTGGTGCGCGGCGGCCGTCCCCTCGGTGCCCTCCCTACACTCCATGGCCCAAGGCTCGCGCCCTCCCGACAAAGAACGCGTGCGGAGCCGACTGCCTGCCGGCTGCTCCTCGGGATCTTTAAACGGCTGCCGAGTTGCAGCCGCGGGAAGCTGGCAGGGAAGGGAGCCCGGGGGATCTCAGGTCCCCGAGGGACCGGGAAACGCGCTTCGCCCCGTGAGCTTTGGAGGGAGAGTCCAAGAGAGTGCCCGGTAGCTAGGATCGCTTCCCCGCCAAGAGCCCTGTCCGTCCCCGCTTTGGCTCTCCTGGATCCCGCGCTTCAGAGCAGCAGAAGTTTAGCGTCCTCGTGGGCGAATAACTGGGAGCTGGGAGGAGACGGTCGAGGGGCACCCAGGACCCCGCGGAGTGGAGGGTTTTGTCTGCGGATGCAACCAATTAAGCGTGCAGCCGGCTCTTGCAGAGCTGTGTGCGGCGCCCAGGGCCGGGGGCCGAGGGGGTGGGGGAGTCTGCAGCAATTTCCAAACCTAGGGACCCGACTATTGAGTACAGTTAAACTTCGCTTCCTGGACTTTTAAAAAAAAAACTTCTATTTTCTTCTTTTGCCTTAAATCTCTTTCCTCGGGCAAAAAGAAGGGTTAGAAAACAATCCTAAAGTCCCGAGTTGCCCCCGGGTGCTAGGTAGGAAATCGAAGAATGTTAGAAAAAAACGAGGGGTGTACCTTTTTAAAATCATCAAAGGAAACAAGCCAATCTGGAGGCCTCCGAGTTTTCCCGCTCTGCCCTTAGCGTCACTTTACTGTGCATTTGGACCCTGTTTTACACCTCCCAGGAAGTCTCCGCTCTACCCTCTTGCTTCCCCAACCAGCCACCCAGCTCTTCCGAATTCTACTAATCGCACCTCCCCCCTCCCCTCAGTTAAAAAAAAAAAAAGTCTGAAAGAAAACGCAAGGGGATCCGGAGGTGACCGGGAGTTTTTACCTTTGAGTAAAGGCCGAGCTCACAAAGAAAAATGTGTTTCCGATGCGCTTGCTCTAAGTGCCCACTGGCGCGAGTATCTAAGGGAAGCTTCCAAGAAACCTTTCCCCACGCTCTCTAACTGGAACGCGAACTTCCATTGAGAACTTTGATGAGTTGTAATTAGTCTCGTTTTAAACACCCAATCTGAATGAAATGAGAGGAGATGATTCATCGGAGAGACGTTCGGCGTCCCCGGAGTATCAATCATCACATTTTCTTAACTGCTGGAGTATTGACTACTTAGCCTAGCACCCAATACAAGAAAGTGTTGATGTACCTGGTGACCTGGCCGTTTCAATTTCTCCGTCCCAGATACTTACACTCCTCTCGCATTACCCCCTTTCCTTTCCCGTCCACCCCCCACAAGACTTTCTTTTTTAAAAGAATTTGAAGACAACGTGTTTATTTTTGCGAAAAGATATTTCAATTTCGACTGGAGACTATGCCTGTCTCTCCAAAAGGAAGTGGAGAATTGAAGCAATTATCTAGATAATTCAAGCAAAACCTCCCACCTCAGATTTACCATAATTATTTGGAAATTTTTACGGGGTATGGAATTATTCTGAGCTGAAGAGTTTGGATAATCGCTCCAATATTGCACTCAGCATGGGTGGGTTGAATCCTAAACCACCTGAAACAGGTATACAGAAGTTATTCCAAGCCATCCTTTCAATGTGTCCATCTATCTTTCCAGCTATCTATGATATTGGGTTCTATTTCTGTTGTTTGAAATCCCAGTAGACTGGGTAGTGGTAGTCATACAAAAAATGTTTATTATTTCTGCAAGTTGCCAAGTGCACAGCCATGTAAACTTTGTACCTGGAAAACATGTGACTTTCTAGAATATGCAATTGATTTCGAAATATAGTTTCCTCTTTGAGCACTGGGATTCGAACTACCGTTATTACCCCCCACCCCCTACCCCTCCCCAGCCCGCATCCCCCCCCCTTTTTTTTTGTAAGGGCTGTGCCACCATCCTCCAGCTATGCATGACCTGAATGACTTCCAGCAGGCTTGTTCAGCAGCACATGCACAAGACACAGGCAGAGTCAGGGTCCATATCTTTCAGCCAGTCTAGCTTCAACAGCTTTTCCTTTCCTCCCTACAATTAGGAGCCAACCTGTGAGCCCTCTCCTAAGAGACCCAGGGGAAGACCGAAAGGCAGCAAAAACAAGAGTCCTTCCAAAGCAGCTCAGAAGGTGAGAAATTTCAAGTGAAGTTCTTCTAATGTTACCAATGACCTCCCTGTAAATTTCCCCATTCTAAATCCACACACCAGGAGTGGTCCCGGCTGAGTAACCCAAGACATCATTCCTGTATTTACTGGATGGGTCTTAACTTTTTTTTTTCTTCTTCTTCCTTCGTGGATGCTTAGTTTAAAAGTTTCCTGGAGAGACAGTGATTTTTAGACAAACAAAGAGCCATCAATAATCTAAATCTTCAGGGTGGAGGAGAACCGATGGGGGAGGTAGGGTGGGGACAGGGCTGGGTGGGATGGGGGTGGAAATGACATCATTAATATTTACACCCATGGTGAACTAGTTCATAATAAATCAAAGCTAGAGGTTTTGATTGGTGATGATGTTCCTGCAATTTCCTCCGGGAGGAAAAAAATAATTGAGATTCATTTATTCAGGGCTTATTTACATGATGACTGGAAGCCAAGTCTCCCTATTAAAGTTAAGTACTTTGTCAAATAGATGCTAATTAAAAAGAAAATCCAATTATGGGTTACTGGAAAAAAGTTTCATGATTTTTTTTTTTACAACTCATGATTTTTTTTTTTTACAACTTTAAATGTGATAAAGTGTATGTGCAGGACAAATGTGTAAGATAATAAATATTGTCACAATCAAAAGAAAGTTTCCCCCAAAGTGTTGTACTCTCATTAGACAACAAGAAGTTTGGAAAGCAACTACTTGTCTTACTTAATATTTTGGGTGTGTGTGTGTGTGTGTGTGTGTGTGTGTGTGTGTGTGTGTGTGTGTGTGATAGACCCCCCCCCAATCAAGTTTGACATTCATCTTTTTTAACAGATTTTAAGTTGCACCTTTAAAATAATCTCATGTTGGTTGTGTGTGGTAGCAAAGAGGAAGTACCCCACAGTAAATGCCTGTATAGAGGAGTGATGAAGAACCTCTGTCATCTTTGGTTTTAGAAAATAAATTGGAAATAGTCCTGCATCTTATTTGTAAGCCTGTGTAGCAGTTGAAAGGAGTGGTTCAAAAATTAGAAAGAGCTCCCCATGTAACTTTTCAATAGATTTAAACACACAGCATTTGTTCAAAATGACCCTATGTTCATCTTTGGGGGGATTAATAGTCTGTGCGTATTTTTCTGTGAGAGCAGCCACTAACCACATTAGATGTAACGGTTCTCAGTGGTGTATCCTGTCATAGCAACTAGTGATGTACAAAAGCCACTTAGGAAGTCAGTATGACTTCTGGCTGTTTCATTTTTACAGCTTTGAAAAGAGTTGAAAGAGCAGATTTCTCTACTATGTGAATTAACTGCATTTTAAAATTCAGATTTGTAGTTAGTATCTAACCAATTAACCCTCAAGTGTTTCCAAATAACCTTATTAAGAAATAATACCCAATCTGATATTCTTCCTAGGAGTGCGTTCTCTTCCTTTTATTTATAAATGAACTAAAATGGACTTAAAAAGAAAACAAAAACACAGAGTTACTCTGTGACGCTTCTGCTCTGGGGCAGCACAGGAATGTCTTGGTAGTTATCAGCAGATATTTAAAATATGATGTAATCACTCTTCAGATGCCTCATCATAATGCTATTTAAGGAATCTTTAAAGCTCACCATCAATAAATGGTTTGAAAGCTAATATAAAAAGGAAGGTGGATTATCTTCTTAATGTCTCTGTGTGACACTTTCACTGGAATGAATAGGTAGAAATGGTCCTCTCATGGTCTTTCCACTTTACAAAGTTTATCTTATAAAAATGATCTTGGACTAAGAGTATCTTTATGGATAAAAGGAAAGTTAAGACTTGTGCCTGATTTAACATATAAAGCAACAAAACAAAACAAAGCCAAAAACCAAAAAAAAAAAAAAATCTTATCCATTTCCAAGTCTGTTTGGTTTTTCAGTGACTTTAGCCATAAGCATCTACAGATGGCCCCAGCAGGCTGCCCTCTTCCAGTAATTCTCCTTGTATATACACATACTTGCGTAATTACTAAAATACAAATCCCCCCCCTCAAGAAGACTTTTTCTGGACTCTTTCATTTTTCAAGGTGTAATTATTTCATATAATTCTATTACAAATGTTCCTTTTTTTAGTAAGAGTGAACAAATACATGAGCCTAGAACATGACTATTGTTTTTCTTCAGTTTTTATAAATTACACTTCATTTGGTGAAGGTGAGAGCGAGGACATTGAAAAGTCATTCCTGGAATGGGTAAAAATTCAAGTGTTTCCCTTTCAAATCAGTTTTTATGGAGGATGTTCCTATGCCTTTAGGCACATGATTAGGTTATTAACTGTGTATTGTATTCCAACAAGGCATATGCCCATTATGATTTTGAACTGAAAACCTTTTTAGAAAGAGTTAGTTACACAGTTCAAAACATGCAAGATGAAAATACCCAACTAGACTGAGCTGAATACACATGAAAAGTCTTCTATAAGATTAAGGAAGGGAATATTTTTCTGCACTCTGGTAATCATATCTCTCTCTCTCTCTCTCTCTCTCTCTCTCTCTCTCTCTCTCTCTCTCTCTCTCTCTCACACACACACACACACACACACACACACACACACACAGCTGGTAAGTACTTGAGAGAAACAAATTCTCAAATAAGAGCAGATACAATGTACACTGGAATCCTGATGATGCTGTTTAAATTTTCTTGAAGCTTTGAACTTTTTTTTTCTTAAACTAAGTTTATGCTTGGACTGAGCAACTGGCCTTGGGGCATTTGAAAGCAAAACTGCTCATTAGAAAATTAACAGTGAGAAACTTGACAATACATGCAGAATGTTGCAAGACCAGGTGCACGAACACCCTACTAAATTAGTTGTCCTTTTAATTTCAATAGGAAGTAGATTTGTGTAATATGCACAAGAAACACATTTATAAAGAGGCAATTTGTCCTATTTAGAATTTATGGAAGAGAAGATAATTATTCTCTCATCAAAACTAATTCCATTGATAACCCTTGTGTGTCCATTATAGACTTTCCTGGGAAATCTTCCAATCTGAGTGTAGCCTTATTAAAAAGAAATCAGAAGTTGCCATCTTCTGGAGTAAATGATTTATCTGAGTATGCAAGTGTATTTATATTCATTTGTTTTTAGGTTCAGGTATACTTATAACCGCTTACCTCCTAATCTTGGTATTGTGTTTTGGTTTCTCCATGTGGTTGGGCTTTCTGGAGTCACTTTATATTTTCACATTTCTTATGCTTGGAGAGGAGGAAGGTATCATCTCTTTTATGTTGTGTTTAGGGTTTTATTGTTTCTTTATGATCAGGAGAGAATACTGGTGGGGGCGGGGGGGGGGGGGATGTCACTAAAGGCTTTGGCTTCAGGTCACAAGTCATATGTCTTCAAGTTTCAAAGCAGGTCCCACTCAGGTGCTTGGAGGGGTGTGTGTGTGTGTGTTTCTGAGGTTGGGTTAAATTTTAATAGAAAGATTTCAGGCATGAGGTCCCCTTGTTTCATAATGTTAACAGTTTGCTTGCCCCTCTCCTTATCCTGGAGATATAATGGCCAGACTAGAGAACAGAGCACAGAATGACAAATGCATCTGGGTGAATGTATGTATACTTTGAATGATGCATTAAGAATAAACATTCGATTTCATCTTCATACACAATGTAAACAAACCCTGAGATTACCTGGGTACTCTATAGACTGAGTCATATTCCACATCATTCACATTCCTGGAAGTGATTGGGTTTTTCTTTTCATAAATTATTACTAATATCAATCACAGACATTTTAGGAATGAAGAAGAGAGGTAGGTCTTACCATTTCATATTAGCTGCGGAGTCTAGTTGCTGTGTGAGGATTTTCCTTAGAGCGTGGAAGGCCAAGGACGAGAGGGATCAAAGGCACCCTTGGTTGACTCAGTCAAAGATGACACTAGGGGTGATGATAAGATTCCAGCCCTGTAGTTTCCATAGTACTAGTCTGGTTTAATGTGACCCCTCTGTGTACAGGGGGGTCACATTAAACTATAGGACAGGTAAGTTCTTGTGTGAGATTCAGGGCATGAGCAGAGTAGACATAGGCTGGGGTAATGAAGACTGCTGTCTCCACTGTCTTGATATTTGAGGTTGACTTCAACAGTGAACTCTTTTTTTTTTTTTTTTTTTTTTTTTTTTTTTAACTTTGCCTTGCCTGGGAAGAAAAAGCCTGAATCCAGCTATAAATTCCACACGACAATGCCACCCAGTCGTCCTAGCGCATGGTGCAAACAGGGGAGACTCAGACACACCAGGATTATTTTATGTAGTAACTGAGTGCCAGGGAGACCCACAGTTCTATTTCCCTGGCAGCTACCAGTCCTCTGAACTCTTCCCTCCAAAGCTCCCCGTTGCTATAGATGGCCCATATCCTCATTCCTATCACGGGGGTCTCAACAGAGCTTCTGGTTGGGATCCCATTGCATTTCTGATCTTGGTTGAGAACAGATGGGCGAGGAAGAGCATTTTATGCTGGTTAAGTCATTCAAGCCTGTCTTGTCTTGTGAGTGGACTTTTTTTTTTTTTTTTTTTTACATTTTCCAGAGTTCACCTTAGAGCCTCACAGCTTACATGGGGGTGGAAAGAGAAATTCAGACCCCCCCCCCCCCCCCCCCCCCCCGCGCACGCACCATGATAAGAAGCTCAGTTGAGCATCTGTGCTCAGATAACCAGTAGACAAAGGTGAACGGAGAAACAGCAATATTTTAAAACTGGTTTTTACTTACTTATATGGCCTTAACACACAAGACAATTTTGAATGGCATTTTCTGTTACTTATTTGTTTATCTTTTAGTGCTAGAAATTAAATCTAGGGCCTTGCATATCCTAGGACAGTGCTTTGTCACTGAGCCATATCTGCACCCTCTGCCTGTCGCTGGGGTTTTCCTAGTCCTGCCTGGCCCACGGTCACGACAAATCTCTCTCACCCCGCCAGTCCCACAGCCACTCAGACCCAACCAAGTAAACACACAGAGACTTATGTTGTTTA